TAATACATATTTTTTTAAATTTAAAAAATTTTTGTGCCATAAATTTTGTTTATTGCATAAATTTCTATAAAAAGCACCAAACACGATTACATTTATAATAAAATAATGTAGTAAAAGTAAAACATATATCAACTCAAATTTTAAATTAAATTATTTTCAAGGTCGTACAATTAACTGACATCAATTATAAAAAAATTTCTTTTATTTTTATTTTCAGGTTGACAGTCGTGCTGAATCAATTGAGCAAAAAATTCGAACTTATGAACAAGAACTAGTGAGATACAAGAATCAAATGATGAAAATGAGAGATGGACCAGCTAAAAATGGAATAAAAGCAAAAGCTATGAGAGTTTTACAGCAGAAGAAAAGGTATGAACAACAATTAGACAATCTTCGACAACAGTCCTTTAACATGGAACAAACAAATTATGCTACTCAAACATTAAAAGACACTCAAGTGACAATTGCTGCTATGAAAACTGGTATGAAAGAAATGAAAAAAGAATTCAAAAAAATTAACATTGAAGAAATAGAGGTAAGTTTTTTTTTCTTATTAGAATTTTTGCGGTAAATAATTGAACATTAATAAAATGTAATTAAAAATCAGGATGTTCAAGATGATTTAGCAGATTTATTAGAACAATCGGAAGAAGTGCAAGATGTATTAGGTAGATCTTATGGTGTACCAGATATAGATGAAGATGAACTTGAAGCAGAATTAAATGCTCTGGGTGATGAAATAGCTCTCGATGATGACACATCATACTTAGATGATGCTGCAAAAGCACCTAATGTGCCTGGAAAAGAACCAGGAGCTGAAAGTTTTAGGAATAAGGTAATAAAATATTGTTATTCGGTGTTGCTTTGATTGTTTAATATTTTACTTAGCAATTTTAGTTTGTAGCTTCTTTGTTTAAATTACTTCATTTATACACACAAACCTCATATAAAAAATTTCTAGCATAATTTAAGCAAGTTTTTTTTTTTGAATCATACAAAAAATTATTTTTTCAGGATGGTGTACTGGTCGATGAATTTGGATTACCACAAATACCTGCTACGTAAAAAAATTTTTAAATATTTCTTTTAAAAATATAAATATGCATTTAAGCTATAAGATTAACATTAAAAATTGCTTAAGATAAAAAAAAAATAAATATTTTTATGAGCTTATTTTTAATTAACTAATGTGTATAAATAATAAAAATTTAATTAATTCTTAAGGTTAAGTAATAAAAAAGGTAAAAAGCGGTAGACTTATTTGTAGGTCTGTACAAAAAAGAAAACTATCAAGTTAATCGAAGAAATCTATTTAATTATTTTTAATTACACAAGAAAATGAAGGTGTTGTCAAGTATATTATATTATATTATATTCGAAGATTTTTTTTCACTGCATTTTGAGATTTGCTTAGTATACACATTTCTCTTATAAGTTGTAACATATATAAAAAATAATAAAATCTTATTAACATTATATCTATTATTATTATTATTTTCTTTAAGCAACAATATATAAATATATGTGTATTGAAAATTATAAACAATTTTTATGGTTATTTAGGTTTACTACGCGTGTGATATTTAAAATTTATTTTTATTTTAGAAAAATAGAGTAATAAAAATAAATAAAAATTGTATAATTACAGATATGCTTTTGCTTCACATAGTTTTTTCTTATTCTTCTTAAGTAACAGAAATACGTAGTTTAATAACACCAAACATTTCTTAAATAAATATTTTATTGTATTTTGAATACATTAAGGATTGATTTAATATTGTATATTTAATAATGGTGGGATTAAATTTTTAGGTGATGTAATTTATTTGTTTTTCTTCCTTCTTTGTTTTCCTGATGTGTTTTTATTTCCGCTTTTGGAAGATTCGGCAATAACTATTTTCCCTTCTACTATTTCATCCTTGGCATCGCTTGCTTCAATTTGTTTTTGAGCTTCGAAAAAAAACATAACATCTCTAAGTTGTTCTTTCACATCTTCCAACTCCTAAAAATAGATTAAATTATTTTTAAAAACTAACAGTTGAGGATAATTATGGTAGAAAAAAAATCATAATTAATTAAGAAGCATTTACCTTATCTTTATTTGTTTTGAATTCTTCAAATTGTTTTTCAAGATTATTAAATTTAGTTCGCCAAGCAGTTTGATTTTGTTGAAGAGCTTGACTAATTTGTTTTTCATCTTGTAATTGTTTCAATGTAGATGTCAATCTTGAACTTAATGCGTTCATTTTTTTCTCCATATTTAATTTTTCTGATTTTGTTTCGTTTAATGCAGTCTAAAAAAATAAAAAAATATACATACATGTTGTCTATCATCATAAAAATTAAAAAAAAAAAAAAAATTTTTTATTATTACGAGTAAATGCCTGTTTTCTTCAGTTGTTTTTAATAATTTCTGTCTTAATTCAGTACTCTCTGTTGCAAATGATTGTTGTAATCTGTTTAATTTATCTTCAAAATAATCTTTTTGTTTTTCAAGTTGTGCTGTCAAATTATAAGTCCATTCTAATTGAATTGACTCCATTTTTTCATCCATTCCCTAAAAAATAAATTTTCCTTCTTGAGAAAATTACAATACATTTTTTTTGTTTTTTGTTACTCACAGGTTCTTTTGATGGTTGTTCAGCTTCCACAAGTTTCCCATCACCTTTATTTTGCAATAATCTGTGTACAAAATTATCACCAGCATAATCCCAAACTCTATTGGTTCCCAATAACATTGAATAACAGTGTTGAGTAGCCAAATAATGCCTGTGAAAAAAAAAATTAATTCAACTTGTTAAATTTTCATTTTTAAATAAATAAAGAGTCAATAATCATAAAAAACAATAATGCCAAAAGTTTTCGAAAAAAGTTTAAGTTTTTATGTTCTTTTTTTTTAAATGACATAAAAACTAAAATGTCAAATAGTTGAAAAAAATAAATACTTGTAAGCATGGCCTTCAACATATCTTCCACAGCCAACATGTCCACAAATTAAACATATCCAGAGGTTCTCAACTGACGAACATTGCAAGCACCTATTATCGGCAACCATTTCTGGAGTCTGTATATAGCGACAAACAGGACAACTGTAAGTTTAAATTTAATATATTAAAATTTTTTTTTTTTAAACTCAAAGCAAAATAAATGGTTTAATTAATAAAATTTACCTTGTATCACCCCATTTGGCTAAACAATTGCTGTGAAAACTGTGATTACATAATATAGTTAGAATTCCATCGACAGATTCATCCATTCTTTCTAAACAAACAGGACATGTGGGAAGTTCTGTATGTCCTGGAGGTGGTTGAGGATGGGAATCTTCTACTTCCACACCAGATACAAATACCAAATTGCAAACATAATCAGGTTCCAATGAATTGAATGGAGCTCCATTGTAAGAAGTATAAAATTCACAAGCCATTTGCTTAAAAGTACAATTTCAATGAGTTAAAGGTTATTTATGAAACAAACTAAGGAGAACTTGAAAAAAATTGAAGCATATTATTGATATTTTAGGGAAAATAAATTAAAAGTTTTAAAATTACCTGAAACCTAAAAGTAATTAATGCCATATATTGATTAGGTGTACCATCTTTAATTATTCTCAAATGTTGAATTCCATCATGATAGGCAGCAGTGAAATTTAAGAGATCATGGCAAGTCATAGTAGCTGGTACTGTTAAAATGCAAATTGTATTGCATCTTTCTGAGCCAGCTTCAAGAGTGCAAAGAATACTAAAATGAATTTTTAATTGTATGAGACAGATGATTTTTATTAATCAATTGGTGATTTACTATTTTAAAAAATTGTTTTTAAATGCAAATGATTAATAATAACATATTATACTTTCTTACTTTTCCTTATACAAATGTAAAATTCCTCTCGTTATTTCTACAAAAGGATTTCCAGATACGAATGAAATTATATCCACAATATCATCAACTTTTTCAACTTTTTCTTTCTTTACTTCATGTTTTACCTTACAATTAGATTGTTTAAACAACCCTTTATCAACTCCTAATTCGCTTGAATATGTTTCTACTCTCAAATGTTTAGGTTCTCTTCTTCCTTGAATAATAGACTTAGCTTCGTTAGCCATTGCTTTTCCTATCAAACAAGGTTTTTTAATATATATTATATTGAGTAATGAACGAGAGCTTCATTTTGAATTTTAATAAATTTTATTCATTCAACCTTTAAAACTCGTGCCTGAACTCAAATTATGTTTACTAGTTTCATTAATGATTTCGAACACTATAAAACATACAGAAATTTTTAGTGACATTACAACATAACACTAATCATTTCGTAATAAAAAATTTCACTTTCTCGTTATAAATGTTAAAATTATAACAAACAGCTGATGATTCAAGAGTAAATTTTTCTTTTGCCACGACACTTTAAACTTTCCGCTCGTGTATTTGAAGTATGAGTGTTTAAAGTATTATTATTATAATGCTTTAATGTATCAAAATGGTTTTCGGCCGCCTTGAGCAATTTTCAAACATAAAAATGGATTTACAATGACGAACAGAAAACGTTTAATTTTATCCGCCTTTTTAGGCTTATTATTTCTTTATTTTTTTATTTTAAAATATAATATTCAGTATGTATTCTTTTCGAAACAGTATTTTTTACAGCATCAGTTTTTAGAAAGCAATAAATCGTATGTCGATCATAAAAGGTATATTTGTTGTTTGAAATTAAAAAAACTTTAATATTAAGTACTTTTCTTAATAAAGAACTTTGAATTTTAGAGAGGAAACTATGTCTATAGTTGTGGTAGTCTGCGGAGATCGTTGGAAAGAAACGCTAGTACTTTTAAAATCAGCTCTTTTGTTTACCAAAGGGCATTTACAATTTTATATATTTACAGACTTAGAATTAGTTAATGTATTTCAAAGAGAGGTAAAAATTCTTTTAAAAAAAATTTATTTATTTGACACGACGTTGAAAATTATTTTAGATATAAGTATTAATATTTTTAAAATAATCTTTTACAGCTTAATATTTGGAAAAAGGATTTTAAAAAAAATTTTGATTATAAAATTTTGGAAGTTAAATTTCCGTCTGGTGAGTTTGAATCAAGCTGGAGAAAATTATTTAAACCTTGTTCATCTCAAAGATTATTTCTTCCTGTAAGTAACATTATTTTTTTGTACAAGTAATATAATGTTTAACTTTTAATTTCATGTTTTAAAATTTATTAATTTTTTTTTTTTTTTTTTTTTTTTTGTTTTAAAATTTGCTAAAAGATGTCGATTCAGTATTATATTTGGATACAGACACATTAATTTTGGGACCAGTCGAACAAATTTGGGCTCATTTCAAATTAATGAATTCATCACAATTTGCTGCTTTGGCACCAGAACATGAAGATCCTCTCACTGGATGGTACAACAGATTTGCCAGGCATCCATTTTATAAACCTTTAGGTATGTATAATATTTCATCACAAATTATTTCTTAATGTAAAATTTTTAAATTTGTAAATGTTACATTTAAAATAATTATTTTAATTAATTGACATGTGTGATCGTGTAAAAAATATTTTACAGGTGTAAATACAGGAGTAATGCTTATGAATCTCACAAGAATGAGAAAATTTGAATGGGAAAGATACCTGTTGCCCATTTATAAACAATATAAATTAAAAATTCCTTGGGGAGACCAAGATATAATAAATATTATTTTTCATTTTCATCCAGGTAAGTGTGACATTTACCACATGAATTTTTTTTTTTTTTTTTACAGAAATATTAATAAAATTTAAAAAATTTTATTTTCAGATAAACTTTATATATATTCGTGTAAATACAATTACAGAGCTGACCATTGCATGTACACAAGCGTTTGCAAAACTGCAGAAAAAGAAGGTATTGTGGTTTTGCATGGTTCTCGAGGGATATTTCACAGTGATAAATTTCCACCCTTCCAGAGTGTTTATAAAGCGATAGAACAGGTAAGTAATTAAAGTATTTTCAAAACTTATTTTACATTAATGTTTAATTTTAATTTTTTTTTTTGGTTGTAATTATTTTTTTTTAGTATAAATGGGGAGGTGATCTTTTTAGGGATTTTTTTTTAACATTAGAATTGTATTTAAATTCATCGAGAGTGTCAAACTGTGGAAAAGATATAAGGCCTTTTATTTTAAATGTACAAAAATCGGTCAAACAGAATAATATGATTTCATGATTTGATTTTTAAAGGTTTAATGTGAGAAATGTTTTTAATAAGCACTTATACTGCACACATTTTAATAAAACTATAATCACCTACTCAAAATCAATTTATATACTATTATATAATTCGAATATCTTGCAATGATTTTTGAAAAATTTTGCTAGTCACCCCAATTAGCCGAAATTGTTAATTTTCGTTTGACAATAAGGTTTTTTTTTTTTTTTTAATGAAATAATTCATTTAAAAAATTTTAGTTACGACTACAAAATAATATTTTATAATTTTTTAAAAATATAAATAGTATAATTTCTATCTACAAGCATTTATATTTATATATATATATATATAAATTGTATGTCATTGTGTATTATATGATTTTAGATAAATAAAAATCTATTTTTTAGGTCTATTTTATCTATTTTCGTCAGGTACTTTTTTTCTTGGCTCGGTATTGAGCCGCTAATATCGTATTTTTCATTAACATGGTTACAGTCATCGGACCAACTCCACCTGGAACGGGGGTGATGTGACCCGCCAATTCTTTAACCCCTAAAAAAAAAAAAAAATTAGAATAATGTAATGAAATTATAAGTTTATATTTCGAAAAGTAATTCATGTTTCACTTACCATCGAAATCGACATCTCCAACTAATTTAGTTTTTCCAGACTTTGGATCAGTAATTCTAGATATTCCTACATCTATGACGCAAACACCTGGTTTGACCATATCTTTGGTTATAAGTCCTGGCACACCTGTTGCTGTTATTATTATGTCAGCTGTTTTAGCAAAACGAACTAATTCTTCCCTAGGTGTGTACCTGTGGCAAATCGTTGTTGTGCAGTCCATAGAATATTGACCCTCTGATTTATAACATAAGTAAAAGTTTCATTAAAAAACTTTATTAATTATTTTTATACTAAAATTATATTTTTCTAAAAATTTACCTTTTCCATCAGAATGCAACATCATTGCAATTGGCATTCCGACATTTTTTGATCTTCCACAAACTACAGCATTTTTTCCAAATGTTTTAATACCAGATCTTTTAAGCAATTCCATTACTCCAGCAGGTGTACAAGGTGCTAATGTTTGCTGTCCTAAAACTAAGTGTCCAACATTCATGACATGAAATCCATCGACATCTTTTTCATGTGTAACAGCACTGCAGATCAGTCTTTCATTCATATGTTGCGGTAAAGGTAACTACATTAAAAAAAAAATTGAGTAGAAATTTAAAAAAAGGGATCTCGCTTTCTTATGCAAGTAAAGAAAAAATAAATACCTGAATTAATATTCCGTCAATGTTATCATCATTATTTAATTCATCAATTTTTTTTAAAAGTTCACTCTCAAGAAGAGTGTGTGGAAATTTTTCGGTTCTACTATTTATTCCTACATTATGAGCTGCTTTCATTTTATTAGCGACATATGTCGAACTTGCAGGATCTTCTCCGACCAATATCGCAACTAAACTTGGTCTCCTGTTACCGGATGCTACCCATTTTTCAGTTTCGATTTTAAGTTCTTGTTGAATTTCATTTGCTATTTTCTTACCATCTATTATCGTTGCAGTCATCCTAAAAAAATTAAAAATAAAATTACGAGTACGAGACATTAAATAAGTTGGAAAAATTAAAAATCCTCCGTTTTTTTTTTTGGTGTTAATAAAATTATTTTAACTGTTATGAATATCTGACACTTTGAAAGGAATACCTTTTTACAGAAGTACTGAAAAACCGAATATTTTTTGACAAAAAAAAACTACAGAAAAACTTACGACCAATATCTATGGCCATTTTTATTCACTTATTGACCCCCCACGGATTTAATAGTAGGAAATTAAAAAATTAACATCATTCTTGAAAAATTTGTAAACTGATCTTCATAACTGACCTCAAAGTGTTCAAGGCCTCCGTTATCAAATTAATGCGCCATTTTATTTAATAATTGATTTTGCAATTATTCAAAGCTTATTTAATGTTAAGGTGTACTTTTTGTAAACATCAATTTATAAATTGATACATTTTAATTATTTCCTAATGTAATTATAAATAATGAATACTTTTGAATTCTACTTATCAAAAGTAATTCCAGAAGGCTTTACAACGTATTCTGTCTGCGAATTCAGAGCATTGTCAAATAGTATAAATAAAATATGCAGTAGTTATTTATTTATTTAATAAATCATGTTATTAAAGAATTTAAACATTTTTACTTTTATTTTTCTTATAGGTAAGTCGTGTTGGATTGTTATTGAAGAGTTCAACGAAAATTATTTTCTAAAACTTAAAATTTATGTTTTTTTTTTTTTTTGTTACCAATGAACATCATTTCTAATTTTGTATGTTTTATGTTTTAGTATTTAAAATTAGGTTAATAATTGCAATCGAAAGTGGTGAATCTGGAGGGAATGATGTGATTGATTTTCACCAAAAAGTAAATCATTTGACTGAACAGAATAATACTTCCACTAGTCTTGACAGCCCAAAAATTAATTCAAATTTAACTCATCAAACGATTATAGAAAAAACTGTTGTAAATGAAACAATTGTTAATGTAAATAAAAGTTTAAATGCAACTTCAAATATTCATGTCTCCTGTTTATTAAATAAAGCTTATGTTAATCATCCAGTAGAGGTAAGTGTCACACTGTTATTAAATTAAATTAAATTCTATTCAAAAGAAATCAATTTTTTTTTAAATCAAATTTTTGTTTTAGATTGTCAATTCATCAGCATTAATGAATTTACTACACATAGAACCTAACATCACAAGTAGACAAAGCCCTGGTAATTGTGTTGTTGTACTGTTTTATTCAGTCAGTTGCCCATTCAGTTCCTTAGCAGCTCCTCATTTCAATGCTTTGCCTAAATATTTTCCCGATATTAAAATGGCTGCCATTGATGCAATGAAATATCGCAGTGTAAATGCTCAATTTGGTATTGTTGGTACACCAACAATGATGCTTTTTCACAATGGAAGGCCTACAGCTAAATTTAACGAAACTTCACAATATGATTTAAAAGTATTTTCCAAGTTTATCAGTAAGCATACAGGTTAGTTTAAAAAATTTATTTATTTATGTTTTATTCGTTACTAATTTCATTAAAAATTTTAACACAGTTCATTATTGTAATTAATTGCCTAACAAACTGTGATTTTTTTTCTTTAATGTTTTATGTCATTTTTTTTTTTTTTTTGGTTAAATTAATCAAACGATTAACTATGTAATACTTTTTTTTTATACATATGAGTAACGACAAATTTTTTTTTTGAAAGTTTTAAAAAGTTTGTTCAATGAGATTGTTTTCCACTATAAATAAAATCATTTTTTTATTTAATTTTTCAAGTTATCTAGGTCATTGGTCAAGGAGTTATAGTAATATATAGACAAAGGAAAAAAAGAAAAAATATTAATAATAATAATCTTTGTTATTATGTAAACGAAATTAAAAATTTTTTTGTTTCCTTATTTTCCATTGATTTTAATTTTTTTTTTTTTCGTTTGATTTCAGGTATTTCATTATCGGATGGTAAATTAACAATAACACCATCTGAACGTTTGGGACCTGTACCTTCAATCGTCGTTAAAGAAACCGATTACTATCTCATACTGTCATGTTTGGTCATAGTCATACGAATATTGTATTCATTTTACTATTCAACATGGGGCAGGAGCCTTGTAGATGCAACTCTTAACGCTTGGAGAGCAGCCGAAGCACAACACATTCACACGGATTAAACGACAGGAGCAACCGGAAACAAGGAAGAAAAACAAAAAAAGGTATTTATTTTTTTAATATTCAATTTAAAAATTTAATAATTGGATAAATGGTAAAGAGTTAAGGTGAACCAAATTTATTAATTATTTATAAAACAAGAAGGAGAGAGAGAGAGAGAGAGAGATTCGTGTCGTGCCGACTCGTACCAGATATTCTTCCCAAACTGTTTTCCTTTTTTTTTTTTTAAAAAAATTCAACGTTATCGTTTTTAATTCACGTGAGAATTTAATGGTGGTTTTGTTTTTTTTTTTTTTTTTTTTTTTAATTTTATTTTAATCATTGAAATAACTTAAATGAAATTTTTAATTGCATGTTGTTTGGCCCTTTTTCTTTTTCTTTGTATTTACTTGTATCTATACTCCCCCCCGCCCCGCCCCTTTGCCACCCCCAACGTCTTATCGGTTTTAATTTTTTTGATAAATCGAAAGGAGTATGTACCTCCTGCGTAAAAAAAAAGTATCAGGAGAAGAATGTAAACATGGTAGGTTTGATTTTTTTTATGTTTTCCATAAAACTTGGGCTGTGCTGATGTGTTCGCATAATGTGGTTATGTACATTATATATACATAATTTATTTATTTATTTATTTTTTTCGCGTGAAATATTCAAGTAAAAAAAAAATATCAACCACGAAATAAAAATAAAAATGATAAAAACATGGGGAAGTCATTAGTTTCTTTTTTTTTTTTGTTTTATTTATTAAAAAAAGTTAATAATAATAATAATAATAATTTTTATAAACATTTATATTAATTCTTATCGTAATGAATAATAATAATAATAATAATAATAATGAGGGTAATAAGGGGGGGAAGATGGTTTTTTTATTTATTTATAGTTTAAACGTACACACAATAATAAAATAATTTCTGTCACATTAAATATTAAATATTATTATTATTATTATTATTAATATTGTTCTTTCGAACTTTATTTAAACAAAAAAAAGGGGAGGGGGGAGGGGACGGGAAAAAAAGGGTAAATTGATAACAAACACGAAATCATGATTAAACGCAAAAAAAAACAACAACAACAATTATGCGAATAAAAATTTTTTTTTTTTTTTAATATGACATTAAAATTAAATATTTAAAAAAAAATAATGATGATAATAATAATAATGATGATGATGATGATGATGAGGTATTTTAAAAAAGGTTTTTTTTCCCCCCTCTGCGAAATTACATAAAAAAAAAAAATTAAAATTTGATTTTTAAATCGTATTAAATAAAATTAGGTTAAATGTTTCATTTAATATCATGTTTTATAATTAAAAATTTTATATAATGATAATGATAATGATGATGATGATGATGATGACGACGACGACGACGATATTTAGTTATTTTTAATTTTTTCAAATTTTATAAATTAAAAAAAAAAAAAAAATTGTGGAATACAATTTATTGAAGAGTTGTAATATTTTGTTTTTGTTTGTTTGTTATTGTTTGGGTGGGGGGAGAGGGGAAGGAAGTTCGATTTCTACTTGGTTTTATTATTATTATTATTATTTTGAATTATACCTTTTGAACAATGTATATCATTTGGAGACGTTTATATTATTTACAGGTTTTAACTTGATACCTGGTGCATGATTAATAATAATAGTGATGTAGTTTTGTAAAAAAAAATTTTTTTTTTTTAACTCGCCGAATGGTGTCATAGTGCGTGTGCGTGCGTGCGTGTGCGTTGATATTAGTAAAGTTTTTGATAATTTTGTAAAAATTATTGATTGATATCGAATAATATTGATTCCACACCTGAGTGTTTAATTTATGGCGTTTGAAAAACATGTTTTTTTTTCCTCCCCCCCGGTTATTTTCAAAACAGGGAGGCGTGGTAGGGGGGCGGGGAAACAATAATTCATTTCCGGTTTATTTTGCTGATAACTGCACAAACGTCCAAATTTTTTTTTCCCCAAAAAATGACGAAAAAATTAAAATTTTACGAACGTGATAATTATTTTTAATTGATAAAAACTGATACGTGGGGTTGAGGGGGTTGAATGGGTTGGGGGAGGGGAGGGAGGGTAATAATAAATTTTATTTAAAAATACCGAATCAGAAATATCTAAAATGACCAAATTAAAAATTTTTATTTTCCCAAAAATTTTAAAAGGGGATACTGTTAATTATTTCATTATTATTATTATTATTATTACTACGGAAAATTCATAAAAGACATTAAACAAGAATAGTAATTCCGTAACATTACGTAATATAAATGATTATTATTTATTTTTAATATCGAATAATAAATGAATAATAATAAATGAAAATCGTTTTTTTTCTTTTTTTCTGGGAAAAAAAAAAAAATTTTTAAATAAAAGTTTTGAGAAAAAAATTTTTTTTTTTTTTTAAGGGTTTTCTTTCTTTTCTTTTCTTTTTTTTTTTTTTTTTAATAAATAAATGAAGAGTTTTTTTTTTCTTTATATAATTATATTATATAATAATTAAAAAGTTTTTAACATTTTTAAAATTTTATTATAGAGTAAAATTACTTTATTTATATTATCTAATATTTTTTTTTTTGTAAAAGATTAACTAGTCATCATTCTGAGAGTTGAGTTGAAAAAAAAAAAAAAAAAAATTTAAAAGAATTTCTAGAGTTGTAATGATGATGATGATAATAATAATAGTAAAAGAAGGGAAATTTGTGGTGGTGATGGGGGTGGTAGTAGATGAGGGAAGAAATTATTGTGAAAAAAATAAAATTATATTGTCAAAAGGGGTTGTTGTTGTTTTTTTTTTTCGGTGATTTTACGGGGAGGTAGAGAAAAAAATATAAACGTGTAAATAGAAAAGAGCGAGAGAGAGAATAAATTTGATTAAAATTTCGTACGACAATTAAATAAAAAAAAAAAAAAAAAAGAAAACTATTTCCCCCCTTCCCCCCGTTTAATCTTTGTTAAGTAATTATTTGCTGTTGTTAATTGGTGATCATGAGTGTGAATGAATGGTTTTTGTTTAATTTATTATAACCGTAGGCAATAGTAAAAGTTAAATTTTGTGTGGATTCTAGTTTCGCAACAACACCAACCTGTTGAAACTCTCTTTTCAAACTTAAATTTAACTTAACACACACACAAGCACACGCACACGCGCACGCACACTCACACACTCACATATCAAACGTGAAAATTCAATGTAAATTTTCAGAAAACTTTTCCGTTTTAAAACCGTTTTTCCTCCCTTTTATATATACATATATATACGTAAGAGAAAATTTGTGTTTTACTTTTTCATTCGACTCTCCCCCTCCCCCCTCGCCCCCCCTTTTTTTTTTAATTTATATAAAATTGACATTTAGTGCCGCAGCAACAGCAGCAGCACCAACACCACCAACACCACTCAACCGTTTACTCAACAGAAAACTTAATGACATTTTAAAGGAAATGTGTTAAATCAAAATGGAAAAACCAAAACAATGATAATGATGATAAAAGGGAGAGGAAAGGAAAAGAGGACAAATTTTTAGATAGAGAGAGAAAGAGAGAGAGTGATGACGTATCGGATATGATGAAATGAGATGAAATTTTATTCTTGTTTTAAATTTATTTATTATTAACATGCGTTTATACATATACATACATACATACATAAATTTTATTATCTTTTTATTATATATTCAAATATTTAAACGTATGAATAATTAAATGATAATAATAATAATCATTTTCTTACTTCCTGTGCGTAGGTAAGGTGCGTGTGTGCGTAAGGTAATAATAATAATAATAATAATAAATAAATACGCGTAATTGTTGTTGTTGTTGTTGTTAATGCGTAAATATTCAAATTGAAAATTTTTTTATTGTAAATCGAAAAATGTTTGAGAGAGAGAGAAAGGGAGAGAAAGAGGGGGTGGAGGGGAGGGGAGGGGTCAAGCATTATTCACTAGTATTGGCGGTTCGTAAGTAATAAATTACTTGTTAAAATGATATAAATATACCCGACAATGATATCGTTTAAATTTATGAAATGTAGAAAGGAAACGTTTTTCCTTTTTTTTCTTTTCTTTTTCTTTTTTTTTTCGAAGGGGAGGAGGAGGTGGAGTGCGGGAGTAAGGGGGGTAAGGAGAAGGAGAATGGGGAGAGAAGGGTGCGTGCGTGTGTGTATGTGTGCGGAGGGCGTGGCTGGTTCCCACACTCCTCCCCCTTCCAAAACGGTATATGAGGCTTTTCTTAATGACGTAAGCAAAGGAAAAACAAAGAAAAACGTTTTTTTTTTTTTTCTTATTCGTCTTCGCATCTTTTTTCTCTTTTGCCTTCCGTGCATAATTTTTACTTTAGGTGGGGCTTCATAATTAATAAAAAAAAAAAAAGAAGAAGAAGAAGGAAAAATTTTTTTTTTTCCAGTGAAAGCGAAAAAAGCGGAAGGACGAGTGAAAATGGCGGGTGAGAAGGGAGAGAGAGAGAGATAGAGAAAGAGCACGTGTGTTGTTTTTTTTTTTTTCCAGTTATGTTTAAATATTAATGAATATAGTGAAGCGAATTTCGGTAGAAAAACGTAGAGAGAGGGGGGGGAAGAGAGAGAAAGAGAGAAAACAAAAACAAAATTAAATGGCTACTTAAAAACTTTTTTTTTCTTTTTTTTTTCCTTTTTATTATTTAAAAAGAAAAAAAAAAAAAGGAAAAAAAAGTGTTAAAACTAATTATAATATTATTATTATTATTATTATTAATACGACAAAGCGATTTTTTTTTTTTTTTAAATAAATAAATTAGGTCGACCACATTTTAAATTATTTAAAATTTGTTATTAATAATTGAACATAAAGAAATGGCTACCGGAAAAAAAGAAAAAAAAAGAAAAGAAAAAGTTTTACGTAACTTGACAGAAACTAAAGAATCTATAATTTTTTATTTTTTATGAACTTATCTACTATCCGCCCCTCCCCTCTATTTTCTCTTTCACTTACCCCCCTCGCTCTCCCTCATATCTACCGTAACGGTCGCCATCGT